GAAAAACGTCCACAATGGAATACTGACTGTAACGTTTGCTAAATAATCGTTAAAAGACAGAAGCTCTATACAGAACACTCAACTTGCTCTCTCTCAATGCAGCATCTCCAGAGACGGGATTTACTAGAGTATCACTTCTGCAAAGTGCCATGCTGGCGTCTCAAGTCTTTCTGACTGTAAAACGATACAAGATATAACCAGCAACTTCAGAGCTCTATGTAAGCTCTGTGCGCTTTTGGAAGTAACTTTCTTTCCTTCCCTAGGCTTGTGTAATAATATGACAGTTGTGCTGGAGGATCTCACTGGTCATAAATGTTACAGAGGCAGGTTTACATCCAGCAAAGATGGAAATGGAATTTAAGAGACAACCCCAGTCAAAATGCTAGGAAAAGGGAGAATAAAACTTAGAGTGAAAAAGAAAGAAAAACTGAGTTATATGATTTTTAAATCTTGTTATATACACTGATATATATGCAGAGAAAGAGAGAGGGAACAAATACAATGGTATTTATTTTTGGTATTTTCTTTGGACAGTTTTCAGAATCAGGATGACTAATCCAAAAAAAGATTTTGTTACAAACCCAAAAGGCATCATTCCTTTTTCTTGCCATTAACTGCAAAGCCTCCCAGAATACTTTTACTTGGACTTTGTAAATAAAATTAGTGTGAAAAATAAAATCTCTCCATACTCATTGGTTCCTTATATAAATGGTTTTGAAAAAAATAACATGATTTCATAGACATTAGGGCTGGAAGGGACCTATGAAGATCATCAGGTCCAGTCCCCTGCCCAAGGGCAGGAAGTCAGCTAGGGTCAAAGGATCCCAGCAAGATAGACATCCAAATGTTTCTTGAAAGTGTCCAGAGTAGGTGCTTGCACCACCTCTGGGGGGGAGTCTATTCCAGGCTCTGGGAACACAGACAGTAAAGAAGTTTTTCCTTATGTCCAACCTAAAACAGTCTTCCAGGAGTTTGTGACCTTTGGACTTTGTCTTCCCTTGGGGTGCCTTGGTGAACAGGTGTTCCCCCAGATCCTGATGTACACCACCTATGTACTTTTAGGCAGCCACCAAATCACTCCTGAGCCTGCGCTTCTCTAGGCTGAAGAGCCCCATGGCTCTCAGCCTATCTTCATAAGGCCTGCTATCTGATCAGGTGCATGGCTCTCCTCTAGACTATCTCAAGCATCTCCACATACCTTCTGAATTGTGAAGCTCAGAATTGGATGCAATGCTCCAGCTGTAAACTCACCAAGGCTGAGTACAGTGGGAGGATGACTTCCTGGGTCTTGCTTAAGAAGCATCAGTAGATGCAAGCCAGAGTTTTGTTTGCTTTGCCAACTGTGGTATCACATTGGTGGATCATGTTCATCTTGTGGTCAATCATGACCCCCAAGTATCTTTTGGTCATGGTGCTAGCGTGTAGCATCTCCCAGCCAATAAGTGTAATGCGGGGTTCCCCCCCACCCCACCGCCCAAGGTTTAGCACCTTGCATTTTTCCATGTTGAATGCCATCAGGTTTTCATCCGCCCACCTTACAAGCCTACCAAGATCAGCCTAGATCATTAGCCTATCCTCAAGTGTGGACACTCTTCCCCATAGTTCAATGTCATCAGTGAACTTAGCCAGCCTGT